GTGGCACATGCACACACACACCTGAGCCACACACCCACACTGACACACAGACACACTGACCTCACCCGCACACTCGTGCTCACACACGGGCATGCGTGCCCACCCATGCACTCCAGCTCACACAGACACACACACCTCACCCACCCACACTCTCAGGCTTACACACCCACACAGACTCACACCCACCCGTGCACCCACACTGACACAAACACTCACATCCACCATACACCCAAACTCACACACAGATACAAGCACACACTCACACCCACGCTCACAAACACACACACACACACACACTCTCTCACACTCACGCATATGCACACACGTCCTTGATGGGCCCCAGAGAAGCGTGAAGTGATTCGTTCTCGAGGGCTCTGGTGAGAAACGGGACAGTGAGGGTCCGGAGGTGGGACTTCCCTTGGCTGGACCCTGGCTGCTCCCGGCTCCTCCTGCAACCCGTGGTCCTGCTCTTCACAACGCCTTTCCACCCCCAGACCCCCCTGAGGACTTGAGCGGGGCACGTGCGCCTGTGGCCAGAGCTCCAGCCCTCCCACCCTTTCAGGGCAGCCGGCCAGGCTGGGGCTCAGGGATGTTGCTGCTGCTATTTTTTTAAAAAAATCGAGATAAAATTCATTATTTTAACCATTTTAAGGTATATAATTTAATTTTTTAAACTATATTCACAATGCTATGATATCACCACTATCTAATTCCAGAATATTTCCATCACCCCCATAAAAAACCCTGTACCCATTAGCAGTCACTCCTACTTTCCCCTCCCAAGCCCCCTGACAACCACTAATCTACTTTCTATCTTTCTCGATGGAATTTTCCCGTGCAGACCATCCATATGAATGAAATCATACAGTACGTGGTCTTTTGTGATTGGCTTCTTCCACTTAGCTTATTGTCAAGGTTCACCCATGCTATGGCAGGTGTTAATACTCCTCTCCTTTTCATGACAGAGTAATATTCCAGCACATGGATATACCACATTGATTTACCCATTCACCTGGTTTTTGTTTTCCTGTTTTTGTTTTGTTTCAGAATATTACAGGGGTACAAATGTTCTAGTTACATAGATTGCTTTTGTACTGCTGGAGTCAAGGACACAAGTGTGCCCATCACGCAGACTGTGCGTTGTGCCCATCTATTCACCTGTGGGTGGACATCTGGGTCCTTCCTCCTTTTGGCTATTAGGATAACGCTGCTGTGAACATTTGTGTGCAAGTTTTTGTGTGGACATATGTTTTCAGTTCTCTTGGGTATATGTCTAGGAGTAGAATTACTGGCTTATATGGTAACTCTAGGTTTAACTTTTGGGGGGACTGCCAACTGTTTTCTCAAAGCAGCTGCACCATTTGCATTTGCTTGGGGCTTCTTGGGTGGGCTCACTGAAGCCTGCCAGTGGCTGGCTGGCCCTGCTTTGCCCCGAGGTGTGTGTTCCCAGCCTGAAGGATGAGGGACACATAGAAGAGGGTGATGTCAGCTGGCCCTCCCCCAGTCCCCTGCGTGTCTGCTGAGAGAGCAATCTGGGTGGGCCCCGATGGAGTGGTAATGGGGGAGGGGGAGACCTGAGTTTACATTTTGGGTTCTTGCCATTAACTTGCTGTGTGACCTATGGTGAGTCATGTAACCTCTCTGAGCCTCCCTTTGACAGACCTGGCTGCTAGGCTGTGCAGAAGGCTAGCTGCCCTTTCCAGATTTCCCTAAAAGGCCAGTGGCCACACATTTTTCCAAGTCTTAAGTCTAGAATATTTTTTCCTTTGTACTGCAGCACCACTAACCAAAAAGGAAATAGAAAGAAATAGTAGTGCCAAGCCCCATGGTTCCTGATGCCCTCAGATTTCAGCTCCTCGGGTTCCCATGTAGATAGACAGCGTGGAGGCACAGCTTGGGTCTCTGCAAAGAGACCCGTTGATTCGTCCACTAGGATCACCCACGTGTGGGCGGTGTCTCCACGTCACTGCACAATGGATTCCGCGGGTGCGGTGCCCTTTGCTCCCCAGGCTAAAGCCATCTGTCTCCTGCTCCCCGTTCAGCCCCAGCTGAGCTGTCCCCTCCTCCTGAAGCCTCCTCTAACTGGTTTGGGTCTCCGGTGAGGAAGCCTCTCTAGTCAGTCCTGCTGTAGCCCTTGACTTTCCTACATCGGTACCATCTGATTTCTTGTCCGTCACCTCTGCTAGGCGGGGGGCTCAAGGGCAGGGGCCCCGCCTTTATCACCCACCCACCGTCCATCCATCTAATAAGTATGGGACCCCTCCTGAAGCCACACTCTGTGATACGGGGTATGTAGTGATGGCACCTTTCTGTCCTCAGCCCCTGCCCATTGTCTGGGGGGTTCTCAAATAACTGGATAAACGAACGTTCTTAGAAATAAAAGGTATGAGTGTTAAAACTTGAGGCTGGGACAATGAGAAAGTCAGTAAATCTGAAGGCTCTAAAGCCTTCTTGAGAGACCTCAGCCTCCTGTCCTGCCTCTTAGCTTTCCCTACAGTGCCCCCCAGAGTTGCTCCGATGGTCCTTCAGGCCATGGTGTAAATGACTGACAATAGTTTAAGGTGTTACCTTTCTACGTGGCAGTAAAGATGGGTGATGTTTCAAAGTACGCGCTTTTGATTCAGACAGACCTAGACATGCTACCTGACATCTTTGAACTTCAGTTTGTTCACCTGTATAATGGGGACAATAACTTGATGGAGTTGTTGTAAGGAACGGATTGGATTGGATTAGGTTAGGGATCAGGAAACTGGGCCCAGGGCTAAATACGGTCTGTCCCTTGTTTTTATAAACAGAGTTTTCTTGGAACACAGACACGCTCATTTGTTGATGTATTGTCTGTGGCTAATTTTGTGCTTCCACAGCAGAACTGAGTAGTGATAGACACTCTATGACCCACAAAGCCTAAAATATTTACCTGGTCTTTTACAGACAAAAGTTTTTATGTTTTTATTTTTTACAGTTTTTTTCTTTTTAGACGTAGGACCTTGCTCTGTCATCTGGGCCGGAGTGCAGTGGTATGATCACAGCTCACTGCAGTCTTGAACGCTAGGGCTCAACCAATCCTCCTGCCTCAGCCTCCTGAGTAGCTGGGACTACAGGTGTGTGCCACCATGCCCAGCTAATATTAATTTTTTTTTTTTTTTCCGTAGAGATGGAGTCTTGCTATATTGCCCGGGCTGGTCTTGAGCTCCTGGCCTCAAGCAATCCTCCTGCCTTAGTCTTCCAAAGTGCTGGGATTATAGGCATGAGCCACTGTTTCTGGCCCAGAAAATGTTTGATAACACTTGGATTACATAAATCAATAAATGCTAGTTAAATAAGTAAATATTTTGCTTTTAGCCAAAAGGGCAAAGCAGTGATGGGGAGTTTTGGGGTCTTGGGTGGTGCTTGGGAGGGATTTGAGAGGCTCAGTGCTCACGGGGGTATTCTAGGGGTTGCTCAAACTCCCTGCATAGGCCATGGTACCACCATGATGCTTTCCTTTATGAAGATGGTTCCACCCACTGCCACCTTTGCTTTTTACAGCAACCTTGTGGGGCAAGAGAACAGGGATGATTTATTCCCATGTTACAGGGGAGGAGATGGAGGCCCAGAGAAGCAGAGGGACTTGGCGGAGGACGCCCAGTGAGATAGGACGAGGGGTCCTGCAACCCAAGCTTCCAGCTCTGGGCCAGTTCTCACCCCTCTGCTACTCATTGCCTCAAAGACTTAGCCACACCCTCGCAGCAGGAAAAGGGCTCGTGCCCACGTGTTGACCCGGTATGGAACAAGCCCTCAAGAGGCAGGACGGGGCACACGTGATGGTGATTGTCGGTAGTGTCACAGTGACAGCCCATCCTGTGGATCTGACCTTGCTCTCTTCCCATCCTGGTTCCAGCCTTTGGCCTGGGCGACCTTCCCAACCTGCTGGGCCTGGTGGGGGACCAGCTGGGTGAAGCGGAGAGGAAGCGGCGACACGCCAAGGCAGGCAGCTACAGCATCGAGGTGCTGCTGGCAGTGGACGACTCGGTGGTTCGCTTCCACGGCAAGGAGCACGTGCAGAACTATGTCCTCACCCTCATGAACATCGTGAGTGTCCTGTGTCCTGGGACTGGGCGGGGGTGGGCCTCGGTTCTGATCTGAATGGAAGACTTCTCAGGCCGGGTGTTTTCCACGGGGGACTTGGGGGAGTCATGGCTTGCTCCTCAGTCCGGCAGGCATGTCCTCGGCAGCTGGGTTCCATGGTGTGGCAGGCCTGAGCTGGTCTCCCGACTGCTCGGCTGCAGCGGGGCTGGGATCTGAGCGCTGCTCTGTCCACGCCAGAGCCCTCTGTCTTCCCTCCACCTCCTGCCAGTGGGTACAGTCCCTGGCTGGTGACCCAGGTGTCAGGGAGGAAAAACAACATTGTCTCCATCTTGTGCCTGTGAATTAAACTAACAAAAGACACATTAGCAAGAGAAAAGAGTGTAGTAACCAGTTCCCTGCGTATGGGAGTGCTAAGGACAAGTTGTAGCTCCAAGGGGTGGCTAATGTGGGGCAGCTGATATGTCATTTAGTAGGGAGGGAAAGGAGGGGAGAAAAGGCTGCCGTGGGAAGGACAGATAGGGTCTTTAGGAAGGACACGGGGTTTTGAGGAGAACCAAGGGAGATGGGAAAGTTTGCGATGACGCTTGCTTGTGCAGGTCGGGTGGTCTTTCTTCTTCTTTATGGCTGTGATGTGCTCTTGAGGGGGACCCTTGGGAGCCTCATTTCCCAGAAGTTGCTGCTTTTATTCAGATAAGGGAAGCTCTGAGATGTCTCCTTTCTGCATTTGTTGAATTTCAAATATCTTCAGCTTAAAATGACCTTTTACCAGCTCTGGGGTTCCCAGTGGGAGCCTCACGTGGGTCTTCACACGCCAAGAACGGGACCCCAAGGGCAACCCCAGGAGCGTGAGTGAGTTTACGTGAGCATGTCCTGGAGGGGCCGTGGCCCTGTGCCAGTCCCTGGGGTGGCTGCTTGGGGTGGGCTCCATGTGTGGGGCTCTGGGCACTGTGTGTCCCTGGCTGATGGGGTTCAGAGAGGGTCAGGCCGAGTGGCCTGGGGGTGGAGGGGTGCTCTTTGGGGCTACGGCAGGACATGAAACCCACCTCTGAGGCCGTACGGGTAGAAGGCAGCAAAGTTTAGAAGGTGGTAGGGAGGGTGATCAGGAACTTGTTCCAGAAGCAGAACTGGGCAGCTTCCCTTGGGAATTGGACGAGGTCTTCCGATGGGTCCTAGAAGGAGACGTGTGCTTCCCTGGAGCAGAGTGTGCTTTTGAAACTTGGCGTACCCAGGGCTTGCCCAGGGGACTAGTTAGGACCTCGGATCTGGAGGTGGAAGAGACAGCGTGGAAGTGGTGGGAGTGGGTGGGAAGTTCTTTCCAAGCCCTTGAGGTTCATGACATGGAGGCCAGTGCCCAGCTGTCCCTTGTCCCGTGCTGGGGAAGGGGGAGGTGTCCCTCCTCACATCCCAGGACTTTACTATTGGAGGAAGGTGAGCTCGTGACCCATTCTAGCCCTCTTGGCCAAATCAACGCGTTCTGACTTTTGACCCTTGACCTCTGACCCATGACTCATAGCCTTGGCCAGAGAGCACCGTCAGCCTGCACAGAAGATCGTGCCACTAAGGCCAGGGCCAAATATGGTCTGCCGTGTGGAGACTGCTCTTTGGATAGTCTTGGTCCCACCTTTCTTCTCACAACCTACCAGAAAGTGGGTGAGGAGAGTCCTTGTCTTCTCTGAGCTTCCAGAAGGCTGTTAGAGGCTGGGTCTTCTGCTCGCTGCTGGCTTGCCCTGCGAATGTGGGGACAGAAAGGGCTGGGATGGGTGAGGGGTACCGTTGAGGCAGAGCTGCCACTAGGGAAGCCCAGCTCCTCTGGGGCGCAGGGGCCGGGCTTCCCAGTCAGCCAGACTTCCGGGCCGGGGAGGTGAGCAGGTGGGCGCAGCAACCTCTCCCTCCCGGGGGGCCAGCAGCTCATCCTGTCCGTTGTGTGGGAGCTTTTATTTGGCTGGGATGCTCGGAGCTCAAATTCCCTTGGGGGATCTCCACTGAACCAATAAAAAGGAGGGCCTGTCTGCCTGGGACCGGTTCCGATTCTGATCTCCAGGGCCTGGGCTGGCCTGGTGGGATCGGAGAGAGGAGACCTGTTTCCCAGGATGGATAGTCGCATTGTGCTAGCCCAGAGATGGGGCCAGAAACGTTAGTGAAACACTCAACTTTATCTGATGAGGCTCTTGGCTCTGCGGTTGGCAGGGCAGCTGTGAGAACCCGTCCGCTTGTCCTGCCTCCCGTTTTTCTTTTGCATTAACCTGGGGATGTGCTGTAAACACTAATGCAGCTCCAGATAATGGGCAAGGACTGCCTCCCCCTCCGTCCCTCACAGGCTAGGGGCCCCTGGGTAGACTTGTCTTTCTTTGTGCCTCAGTTTACCCATCTGTACCGGGTCGCTTTCCTTAAGATTTCTTCAAATCTCAGGACTAGAGACCCATTTGAGCACTTTGAAACATAAAGGGGTAGTTTTCAGCGTTTAGTGAGCACCTGTTGTGTGCCTAGTATCACAGACAGACTCCTGCCCCAGAAGCTTTAGTCTGGCTGCAAACATAAGCCTCAGTTCCGTGGAGAGTTCATTACTTGAATGATGTGGGGTTGTGGTTGAGAAGCCACCAGGAATAACACAGAGGTTCTTGCTTGCACAGGCGGTGGCAGCCACACCACAAGTGCCACCTGGCCAACAGCAATGGTAAATGTGAAAAGCACCTCTCAGACGGATGGAATGCGGTGTGTCTCAGGTGTGCTGAGTGTTGGAGCATGTGGTTTACAGTCACCGCGTACCTTGTTGTTGAGACTCCATGTCCTGGGACTGAAAAAGGGCAGGAGAGGTCATTGCGGCCATTCCCCTGTCTTCAAGTAATGCCGCCCCCATTCTGTCCACATTCAGAGGCAATAAGGGCCCAGGGAAGGTCTTCGGAGGCCTGGGCCTGACCTCTGGCTGTGATTGCCGTCCCTGGGCAAACCCCTCCATTGCTTTGGGCGTGCTTTCTCACCATGAAAACGGGGGTGGCGTGCCATTCTCCTTGGTGGGCTTTGGAGAAGTGGCTGACTCTAGGACCTGGGCAGGGAATATACAAGATGAGCCTGGAGTGTCTTATAGTACCAGAAGGTAACAAAGTGCAAAACAAACAAAAAAACAGTGGGATGTGTTTAAAGGACACAGGAGCCAACTGAAAGAGCTCTCCATGGCCAAAGCCGGGACAATCTGAGCAACAGAATCAATCGTGTAGTATTGAATTATAAACCAGAGTATATAATAAACATGGGTCCATACCAATAAATAAACGATTGAATAAATAAGTGGGGGAGAAGCGGCATCTCTCTATGCAGAAGAATCCCAAATTATTTATGTAGATTCTGCATCCTTTAGGAGGTGGATTTTAACTGCCCACTCCTTGAGCGTGGGCTGCATGTAGTGACTTCCTTCTAAAGAGTTCAGTGTGAAAGCGGGGGACAGAGGGTAACCTTAGCGAGGAAACCTGCCAAGGGAAGGGTTCTTACCGCTGCTCCCTGGCGAGCCGCCAGCGGAGAACCCACCTCCACCTGCATTTAGAACCAAGGAAGCCTTTTGGGGGTCCAGAAGTCAGGGTCCACGTTTGACAGAAGGAGAATATTCTAAGGCAGGTTCCAGAAGGTCCAGAGAAGGTGGTCGAGGCATCCTGGAGCCAGCCTCTCTTCCCACCCTTTGCCCATTTCTTCCAGCCCCCGGGTCATTCTCTCCTCTCCATCCCTGACTTAGAAGGCGTTTGCCCCGCCGTTGTCCCTCCCTAGGCTGCCCTGTGTTCGGGCCCAGGAGCACAGGGCCTCCCCGCTGGCTCCTCTGGCCTGCCCTGATCTCACCCCCGCCGGCCGGTCTTCATCAGTCTCACCAGTGCCTCTCATCGCCGTGAGTCTGGGAGTTGTCTGAGGACAGGACTCTTTCCATATCCCCACCCTAGCCAGGAGGCCCACATTTTTGAAGTAAGGAGGAGGAAATACAGATTGGATGAGCCCAAGAGTCCTGATGGAGTAGCATGTTCATGATCACTGCCTTGCAAACCCCAGGCCCCTGGAAGCTCCACTCTACCTGCTGTTCTTGAGGCTCTGGTCCACCGAGCCAGGCCTGTGGGCTAGGGCATGGACCCGCCTTCTTCCTCTGAGTCATGAACTCTCCTCCCGAATTCTCTTCCAGGCCAGAGAAAGCCCCCCCCAGTGCCCTGACACAGAAACTGGTCCCAGACAGCAGCTGAGTACAGTGGCTAAGAGTAGAGGCCTTAGAGTCACAGAGATCTGAGTTCAAATCCTGGCCTCCCCTCTTCCAGCTGGGTGGCCTTGGGTATGTCACTTAACCTCAGATTTCTTGCCTTATGATGGGAATAATTCCTCTTCCCACGAGGTTGCCGTGCAGCTGTATGCCAAGTGCTTGGTACGGTGCCTGGCACACAGTAGGTGTTCAGGGAATAGCAGAGTCTCCCTGCAGTCCCACACTCTTTACCCATCCTCCCCTTCTGCTGTCTTCCCCCCTTGGCCAGAGAGAGTCCTGACTTTTGTTTGTTTTTCCGGTACACACCCATTGGCTATCTCAGGCCAATATGTATGCTGAACCCTACCTGGGGGTCCTGGCAGGGGTGAGTTTGGACTTGGCTCAGAGGTGAGAAGTGAGAGAACTGGACACACTGCTCTTTTCTGCCCTGCGGGTGTGCCTCGCAGCTGTCCTGTCTGTGCCCACCCATGGGAAACAATCCCTGAGCTCCCCTGAGCTGACCTCCTGGCCTCCCCTCCTGTCCTTGGCATTTGGGAGGCAGCCATGGAGGGCCAAGGCTGACAGGGCCAGGCCCTGGGTGCACAGCCAGGCTGGAGCCAGCCAGGGCGCCAGCTGTGTGTGTGTTCCAGAGGGGCAGGGGTCCTGGGCCTCCCAGGTAGCCACACCTCCTAGCTATGACGCCACGTGCCAGGCAGCCTCTGCAGTTTGGCTGGATATGGCAGCCCTGTCCAGCCACTGCCTTGGCCCATGCAAAGCCTCCAAGAAGCTCTAGCCGAAGCAAAGCCACTGAAGTTCCTGCGCAAGGGCTGGGGAGAGTAGAAGTTGGGTAGGTGAGCATGCCAGGGACCCAGAGGCCTGGACCAGGGGACTGGGAAGGGCAGGGCCGACCCTATCTTTCTTTTAATGGAGGAGAAAAGGGGGTAAAATAGAAGCACTTTACTTTTATTATCCTTATTTAGTATAAGAAAAGACCAAACTATTTCTCATTACTGAACCCCATTCCTATCACAGCCTCCAAACTATTCATTCCTTCTTTACCTTAGGCTTTCTTTTTGGGGTCATTTCCCATCTTCTCCGCAGTGTCTTCAGTGGAGTCTCTGTAACTCTCTCAGTTTTTGTTAATTTGATAATATCTTCATTTCAACAGAGTCCTTAAAAGATGGTTCTGCTGGGTGTAGGATTCAGGTTGGTGGTTTCTTTGACGCAGTGCTTTGATAGTATTAATTTAGTGTCTTCCATTGTTGAAAACCGACTCTCAACCCGGTGGCTGTTGCTCGGCGAGTGAGCCGCGTGCGCTTTCTTGCTGCCTGTGAGATTTCCTCTCTGACTGAGATGTGCTTAGAGGGAAGTCCCTGAGAGACTGTGGTCACCATTTGTCCCCAGGAAGGGAGCGGACATACTCAGTGACACTTCAAAGGGAGGAGGTGGATGGGAAGGCTGGATGGGGCTCCTGGCCCGGAATAACTTTCTGGAGGCTGAGGGTTCCTCACTACGGGAGACAGGTGAGCCCTGACTGGGAGGAAATTGCCCGTCAGATGGGGAATAAATGCCATAAACTGCGTGGCATATAAACAACAGAAATTGATTTCTCACAGTGCTGGAGGCTGGGAAGTCCAAATTCAAGCGGCTGGCAGGTGTGGTGTCTGGTGAGAGGCCACTTTCTGGCTCGTAGATGGCGCCTTCCCACTGCATTCACACATGTGGAAAGGGTGAGGGTCTCTCTGGGGCCTTTTTTATAAGGGCACGAATTCCATTCAGGAGTGCTCTGCCCAAAGGCCCTGTCTCCTAATGCTATCACCTCATGGTTAGGTTTCAACACAGGAATTTGGGGGGCACACATTGAGACTGAAGCTGTTGGCCTCAGTTACTTTGGTTGCCAACGACCCCAGGGTTCTCTTGGCAGCACCATGAAGCTCTTGCCTTCCTCTCCCCTGCTCAGGCCTCTGCATCTCCTCCTAAGGGCCCTAAGCTTCTTGGCCCAGGGACCATCCCAGCTCCTCCAGCAAGACATCCCTGAGCCCTCCTGCCACGTGTAGACATCTCCCTTTTCTCCAGATCCTGGAGTGTGGCGTGTGGGGTCTGTGCTGCAGAGCTCGGTGCACCAGTCACCTGAACCTTGGTCTCCAGGTGGCGTCTGAGTGCTGAGTGGTATCTCCAGGTGGCATGTCCCTTTCTGCTTGCTTAGCCTCTGCAGGTGGGCCAGTTACCTGGGAGTGGGAGGTACACCAGGAGGCCCCACCCAGCCCCCACCAGTGTGGGCCAGTTGGGCTCGGCTCAGTTCTGCCTCCTGCCCAGAGAGGCAGCAGCCTCCAGTCCCACTGTAAAGGCCTCCCAACGTCCTGGGCTGGAGATGGCAGCTGTGAAGCAACGGTCATTGGAGACCTTGATGAGTGGATTTGGCCAGTTGAGTGAGGGACAGAAGTGAGTAATATGGCAGGATTCCAGCAGCAATCTGCATATTCCCTCCCACAGGTGAGATGTGTGTGGGACGACAGCAGCCCTGGGGTACTTCCAAATGCCCAGGGGCCCAGCAGATGCCACCACCCAAATGTCCCAGTGACTCCTCTCTTCCTCTGCCCCGAGGATGACCAGTGGGCTCACATGTGCATGCGTGGGGCACAGATGTGGCTGTGCAGAGTGTGCCTTGCCTGTGACCGTCGTTGGTCTGTGACAGCACACATCAGGGAGGTCCACAGCACTGGCCACAGCCCAGCAGGTCGTGTTCTGGTGTTGGAGGGGCGAGGAAGTCAGGGCTATTTAAGGGTCGTCCTATTGCGTGATCATCGACAACCATTTCCATGATTGGCAAAGAATCCTTAGGTTGAAATTCCACTGGGGGGGGTATGTGTTTGTGACTGACTGCCCCCACTCCTCCATCCCACGGTCCCTCCTAGGATAAGTGCAGAGCGTGTGGGTTGAGAAGGACATTGTCTCTATGCATTGGAGCATTTTGCTCCCATGAAACCTTTACTCCTGCTGGGGAGGGGCTGGGTGGGAAGGAGGACTGTCGTCATTCCTGTGGTGGGGTGTTGGCGGGGAGCTGTTTTCCCACAGCGGCTGCTGGTCTTTGATCTCACTACTCAGTTGGATTCAGACACGGGCGCCAGGAAGGCCCGTGGCAGAAGCCTGATGCTGGCCGCTCTGAGTCTGCCCATTCATGAACTGGGGCAGCTGCCAGTTCTGGGCACTGGGGACGGTGGGTTGGGGCTGGGGTTCCGTGGTGCACGCGGCTCCTGCTGCCACGGCTCTGTGCCCACAGCCTGGCTCTGTCCTTGGCTGGCCCGGGGGGTGGAAGTGTCAGCCCGGGAGCATGTCTCTAGTTCCTCTCCTGGCTCTCCCCTCCCTGTGGGACTGTCACGTGTGTGTGGTTGGAAGCACCGTTCCTCTCCGTGTGGTGGACAGCAGCCCCTTTGTGAGTCGTAGGTTGGTTCCTCTATTTATGAGTACAAGAGAATTGACGGCTGAAGTGCACGGGGAGATGGAAGTGGTGAGAAGAGCATCGAGCGCCACCCCAGCTCCTGGGAAGCCATGCGGGCAGGAGTCCGAGGCTGGGTTCCGCTGCTGCCTGCGTCACTAACCACTGACCGTGCGTGCCTCTGGGCCTCTGTGCTTTGTGTGGTGCACTCGTGGTTCCCACATGTTCATCCATGCCAGCCCTGTGACAGCCATTGTTATCCTCATTCTGCAGAAAAAGAGACAGAGGTTCTTAAGGGTTACCTGCTGTGCTCCAAGTCGCCCAGCTCATAGGGGGCAGAGCTGGGATTTGAACCCAGGACTCCCAGTAGCTGCATTGCTTCGCCATTGTTGTGTACTAACACTCACCCACTGAGCAAGTCGTGCTCCTTTTGGGCAAGTTACTTCTCTCTAAGTCTTTCAAGGTCCAACTAGGGAATCAGTTACATAAGTGATGACCCACCACACGCAGACATTGGAAATTATGCTCTTAAATACACAGAATAACGTTCCATGCAACAAGCAAAATACAGATGGTTTATTCAATATGATTCCAATTTGTAAAATAAGACACATGCATGTATACACACGTGGCAGGAAGCATGTTAGCTGTGGTTATTATATATCTGACTAATAGTAGTGTGGGTGATTTAATTTTCTTCTTTTTTTTGTAGTTTTTAATTTTTTTTTACAGTGAAATGTTTTACATTCAGGAAAAAAAGTTATTTAATACAAAAAAGCTGGAGTGTCCAATGGAACAACTCGGGAGTTGGGTGTCCTCGGGAGAGAGTGAGCTTTCCTGTCTTTGGGGGTAGACAAGCAGAGGCTGAGTGTCTACCTCCCGTGGACACTGTCCAGGGGCTTCCTGAGCAGAGTCGTGGAGAGGACTGTGCAAGGCACCACCCCACAGGTCCCTGGGCCTGTGAGAGGAAGGGATTATCTAGAGCTGTGCTCCCCAAACTTGACCATGCATAACAATCACTTGGGCATCTTGTTCAAATGCAGATCCTGCTTGTAGAGGCCTGGGGGGGCCTGAGACTCTGCATTTCTAACAAGCTCCCAGGTGCTGCTGCTCCTCCAAGGGCCCTGAGCACGTTTTCCCCGGATGTGCCCTGGAGAAGTGCCCCCTGCTGCCTCCCCAGTGCCGGGGCACTCTAGGGCAGACATCATGCAGTGGCGATTGGAAAGGTTCACAGGGATGTTAGGACCAGCCGCCTGAGGTTGCCTGGTCTGGGTGTCATTTCTGGAAGAGGCGCTTCGGAGACATGGAAAGGTGAGAGTCTTAGTCAGAGTTGCGGGGTTGGAATCCCAGCTCTGTGGCTTGGTAGCCATATGTCCTTGGGCAAGTCATTTTGCCCCTCTCAGCCCGTTTCTCCACCTGTGGAGAAGGGACACGAATGCCTGCCTGGTAAGGCCACGGTGGGGCTGGAGCGGGTGCCATATGTTAGGTACCCAGCCCCGGCCCTGGCACTGGCAGGCCTGTGGCGGCTGTCTGCTCCCCCTGACACTGCAGTCTCTTGCAGGTGGATGAGGTCTACCACGACGAGTCCCTGGGGGTCCACATCAACATTGCCCTTGTCCGCTTGATCATGGTGGGCTACCGCCAGGTAAACCCCGTGTCCGCAGGCAGGAGCTGGAGGGGGAAGGACGGTGGGGCCAGACCACTGGACCAGCTCTGGGTGGGCGGGAGGGACAAGCGTCCAGGAAACGTCATGTCCAGAATCAGAGCCCTGAAGCCACTAGGATGGCAGCCTCAGTGGTGGAGGCCGGTGGGGGTGGGAAGCAGGGCTTTAGGGGGTCGCTCGAGGTGAGGAGCTGATGATCCCACACCTGGTGGCCAGGAGGAATGGGGGGACAACAGGGCTGAGAGTGGGGCGAGTCCTGTGGCAGTTGAGCCCAGTGCCCCAGGCTCTGCAATCTTAGACTAGTCTCTTATTTTCCGCCAAATGGGGGAAACAATGGAACTTTCCTCTAAGGGCTGTTGTGACAAATAAGACAGTGAACTTCAAGGATAGAGGAGACACCCAAACAGCATCTGCCCTGCAGGTTAGGAGAGGGGATTGGAAGTCGTGGGGGTCAACTCCCCCCAGCGCATCTGGGCTCGGTGCGGGGCATGTGTGCATTCCCTGCAGCAGGGAGGACTGTGCGTAGCAGCGGAGTGGGGACAGCTGATGTCTGCGGGATGTGTACTGCAGTCCCCTGGGCCTCAGTGTTCCCACCCGTATGTGGAAAGAGAGAGGCCTCTGGGTGCTGGGGCTCTGACCCTCCTCTTGGCCCCTGCAGTCCCTGAGCCTGATCGAGCGTGGGAATCCCTCACGCAGCCTGGAGCAGGTGTGTCGCTGGGCGCATTCCCAGCAGCGCCAGGACCCTGGCCACGCAGAGCACCATGACCACGTTGTCTTCCTCACACGGCAGAACTTTGGGCCCTCAGGTATGCAAGGTACTGTATTTGCCGTGGCCAGGTGTGTGCAGCCTGCAGGGCAGAGGCCCGGGGCTGGGCCTGGAGACGGATGGGCTCTGTCTGGGGAGATTTGAAGGGTCAGGACCTGGATGGTGGGCATGACTTCTTTGGAATGATTTCTTGGGGACCAGGGGAAGTAAAGGGGTCCCCACTAGGTTGGTGGAGCCTGCAGGCGGCTGTGAGTGGTCAGGCCCCCTGTGCCTGCCGTCCCAGAGCTCAGCTGCTTGAAGACCCTCAGTGGTTTCCAAGGTGCTTCTGCCCACACTGTGTCCCTCTGTCCGTGTGGCAGACTGTGGGCACCTAGGGTGGGGCCTGTGTGGGCTGCAGAAAAGCAAGTCTGTGCTCTACCTCGCTGGCCCGGGGACCCAGAGCTCCTCACCTCCCGGGATTCTCCCCACTGTCCAATGGGGAACATGGTGACATTTGCCTTCCTGCATTTCAGGGTGACTAACAGCGCCAAGGGCTGCATGAAATGTCTGTGACAGAGTGTTGACAACTGTGAGCACTCTGCAAACATGTGCAGCTTTGATCACCCTGTTTCCCATATGGGGAAACTGAGGCACAGATTAGTGAAGAGGCTTGCCCATGTCCCTCAACAGAGAAGAGACAGATCTGAGACTCAGACCGAATCTCCAGGCTCCCCGCGGAGCACTTTCTATTTCTTTCTGCTTTAATGCTAGAAATGAGTCGGCCAGCCCTGCCTACCCAAAGGGTTTCTTATCCTGAATAGCTGAACCCTCAAATGTGGTTTCATACACACAGACACACACACAACATGCATGTGCATACACGTGGACACAGATAGACACATGCACACATGCAGATAGACAGTGTGCAAGTTTACAGACCACAGACACACATGCGTACACACAGAGATACTGCACGCAGTTGCAGACACACGCAGGCACACGCGCACGTACGCACATGCACTCACACACAGACACTGACATGCACGCATATATGCTCATACTCACATCACATGTAGAGCAAATCCCAGAGCTCCGGGACAACAGAGGCCCCAGAAACCTCCTTCCCGCTGCAGCCTCTTGTTATATCTTCCCCAAACCATCTCAAATGAAAGAAAAATCCAGCAAGTCCAAGCCGGAGGACGCCCTGACTGGTGGACTGCAGACCCAGACAGGGGTGTGCTGTCTCTCATCGGCCCCGCCTTGGAGGCCCCTTAGGACACGGGCCCTGCGCACAGTAGGGCTCAGTAACTGCCGGCTGCGGCATTCCCACTGGCCCCCTGCCCCACCACGGTTCCTGGTGGCCTGCCTGCTCCTCTGCCCGGGCCCTCCCACTCCCAGAGAGTTGTCTCAGCTGTCCCCCACTGTGCCCCTAAGTCACTCCCTGGTCCCCCTCAACCCCTTCAGTCGAAACTATCCCCTTCCCCCTTCCTCCAAATCACCCCCGCACCCCCACTTGCTCCTCGAGTTCTAGCACGTCAGGCCCACCTGATCAGCTCCCTCCTAAACCACAGTTCTCTAAGTGTAGGGCTGGGCGTGGATCTGCGCCCTCTCTGTTTTCCCCATAGCATCTAACATGGTGCCTCCCCCGACTCCTGCTCAGAAAGCACTCGGAGCTTGTTTGTTGACTGGCTGGCTGACTGTGGGACTGGAGAGAGGCGGTGTGGAAGTAGAGTGTGTGCGGGCTCCATGGATATCCACTGCCTGGTCCAGGGCGGGACTGACAGACCCTGGGAAGCGCAGGCCAACAGGGAAGCCATCCGGCCTTAGCATGTGGGGACAGCTTGGCCCGGATTCGCTCTGCTGGGTGGAACTTTGGGAGCATCCTTCTTCCTCCAGGGGCCCTCTGGCACTGACCAGGTGGCCGGGCTGGGCACAGACCTCAGCGTGTCCTACCTTGCCTGCCGTGACCTCCCCTGTCCTCTCTCGCTCTCCCCGGCAGGGTATGCGCCCGTCACAGGCATGTGCCACCCCCTGAGAAGCTGTGCCCTTAACCACGAGGACGGCTTCTCCTCGGCCTTCGTGGTGGCCCACGAGACCGGCCACGTGTAAGTGGCACCGGCAGGGTGGGTGGGGCTGTGGGCTGTGAGCTCTGAGGAGTTCTGTGGCTGTGGGAGGCTTCGCCTCAGCTCAGGCCCCAGTCCCAGTGTCCTGGGAGGTGCCAGAGGAGCTGGCCTGTCCCTGAGGTGTGGCCTCCTGGAGCTGCCTGCGGAGGCCCTGCCCTGAGTGGGAGGGAGCCGGGGGCCAGGGCAGCAGCTCAGGCCCGCCTTGGGCCCAGCCTCCAAATCCCAGGGCCATGGGACACCAGACGTGGCCCTGCCTTTGGGCAGGTCAGTAGCAGTGTCCCCATCACAAGCAGGGACCTGCTGTCTCTGGGTGGTCTCGATCCCTGGCTTCCCTCTGTCCCATCCACACCTTGAGGCCCTTCTGAGGCCCGTCCCAGCCCACGCTGGTGCTCAGCACTCACTGGCCCATTGCTGACAGCCTCACTTAGGGCTCAGGGGTCGGGCCAGGCAGAAGGCTGGCTTGTCCAATCCTAGGGCTTGGATTTTGTTTAGACCATGTTCATTTATTCATCCAGCCAGTATTTCTTGAGCACCTATTGTGGGCCAGGCCCTGTCCTAGGGATGGGGCTATGGTAGAGAACAGGGCAGAGAAGCCCTCAAGAAGCCACGTGCTGGGTGGAGACAAATAAGCCACTGTCCCGTGTCCACAAAGGCAGGGCCAAGGGACACCATCAGCCCTGTTGGATTTCATGCCAGCTCTGTGCCTGGAGGCAGGTGGGGCCTCCTTTCCACACCTGGGTCATGGGGGCTGACACCAGGGAGACCTCCGAGTCCACCCCCTCCCCCCCAGTGAAGAGACAAGGTCAAGCTTAGGCTCCCATATGTCTGCCTGGTGGGCAAGGCCAGATGCAGCCACCTGGGAGTATTTAAGAAATTAGACTCATATTTAAGAAACTAGAATTTAATTTGGCATTAAATACTAAGTGTAAAGAGCAGACGTTTCAGTGTAAACTGTCATTAGGTAGGTGCCTGCCACATGCAGAGCTCTGTGCCCATCCTGCAGGGTCTTGGAGAAACCTGAGAGGTGGCACACAGAGGGGCTCAGTAAATGAGGTCCAATCAAATTGAGTGAGACCCGTCTTTGCACCACCGCTTCGGCCTGGTGGGAAGACAGCGAATGGCTGCCAGTTGTTAATGGTGGGACAGGTGGCCTCTGCTATGGAGGGCAGCCCACAGGGCCGGTGTCCAAGTAGGGCTTGAGCTGGCCTTGGAAGCTGTGAGTTCATGGGTGGGGCTCTAGGAGGGGCAGGTGTCGGGAGTGGAGAACAGCGGCTGCAAAGGCTTGGAGGGCAGGATGAGCCCAACATCACTGGGGGCAGCCTCCACCCAGCAGCCTTGGCGAGAGAGGGTTGCTCCTCTCCGCTGCATGGCTGGGAAACTGAGGCCAGGGTCTCCCACCACTGGCTGGCCTGCCTGCCTTCCCAGGGGCAGGCTCCCCGGGGTGGCTCAAGGCCCCTTTGCCTTCCGGTTCCAGGCTCGGCATGGAACACGACGGCCAGGGCAATGGCTGCGCGGATGAGACCAGCCTGGGCAGCGTCATGGCGCCCCTGGTGCAGGCTGCCTTCCACCGCTTCCACTGGTCCCGCTGCAGCAAGCTGGAGCTCAGCCGCTACCTCCCGTAGGTCACCTCCGCCCTCGGGGCTGGGACGGGGGAGCCCACAGCCGGCCAGTCTGAGCAGAAGTCACAGAGCTGGCTGTCTTCCCCAAGTCAGCGCCCCCACCCCCCGCCCCCTACCTAAACACGCCCATTAGCGTCACAGGTGGGTTAGCCTAGTGTTTCCCTGTGTGCTCAGGTGACCACTTGCATAAATTGCTATTAAAAGTGCAGATCCCCCAGCCCCACCCAAGATGGTGAGTTGGGTTCTACCGTGGTTGTGTCGAGGAATCTGGGTTTCCCAAGCACTGCAGGTGGTACTTATGCATGCTAAAGATGAGAAGCCACTGGGCAGGGCTGAGTCCCTGTCTCCCCAAGGCTCCAGAGGGACAGGCATGCTGAACGGTGCTCCCTGCTCCCCCACCTCCCCACCCATCCCTGGCCCCAGCCCCATGCACCCAACTCTGGCGTGGCTGGTCAGCTCCAGGGTCTTCAGGGACGTTCACGTACAGAACAGGGGTCGGACTCAGGAGCTCAAGGCCTGAGAAGGGGTGGAGTGGGGAGCTGGCCAGGGAAGCCTGCCCGGTGTATGTCCTGCATGGTGGGCTGACTGTTCCTCTTTCAGTGCAGAGTGAGCCCTCAAACTGTCCATGAATCAACCCTTAATCTTGGCCATAGCGTGCCCCTCTAATGTGGGCAGAACTGACCCTCTAAGCCAGCCACAAGCTGAGCTCCTAACTGCAGTCCTGGGTGGCCTTGCCCCTGGCCGCAAACAGAGCCCTCCTGGACCCAGTCACCGGGAAAGCGAGGTCCTGAGAGAGGGCAATGTTCAGGGCAGCCCGTCCTCCCCAGAAGGGACAGCTCTGGGCACAGGGTGGCATGTGCAGATTCCTGCAGGCCTTCCCTGCTCGTTAGAACCCCAGCCCCCGGGAAGGGCGAGCGTGGGGCTTCCTGCCACTGGCCTGCCTCGCCCCCTTGCCTCCACTGACAGTTCCTATGACTGCCTCCTCGACGACCCCTTTGAGTCCACCTGGCCCCGGCCCCCGGAGCTGCCTGGGGTTGACTACTCAATGGACGAGCAGTGCCGCTTTGACTTCGGCAGTGGATACCAGACCTGCTTGGCGGTGAGAACCCACCCAGCCTCTGCCAGGCCAGGGGTGCCAGGGTGATGTCCTTCTGTGGCCCAGGCTGGTCATTCTTGGGGCACCTTCTGCACAGCTGGCCAGTGGGCCCCCAGGCATGGTGCCAGCCACCATGGGGGGCTGCAGAGAGGACACCGGTGGGGGCCGGTGTGCAGTGGCTGAGAACACCTTAGCCCTGGGAGAGATGGAGACGGTAGAACAGAGAGGGTGGGCGGCTGGTGGGGTCCTGGCTGGGCTCCTTACCTGGGAAGCTCACTTGTGAGGCCGTGCCGGTGTCACATGAGGTGTTGGGCTCTGGCCTGGCAGAGCAATAGTCCCCACGCCCTCGAGGGGCTCAGCAGGACATTTTAGTCTAACTCCTCGCCTTCTGTACCTGCATGTCACCTCTCTCCAGGGGGCAATTCCATGCCCCTGCTGCCCGGGCCTGAGGACATAGATACAAGAGAGCACAACCCTGTCACTACCCTGCAGGACAGGGCAGGAGGAGACCCTTGAGCCTGGAGATGAGCTAGAGCCACCCAGGAGAGGACCCCAGAGCTGCTAAGCAGGCCTAGGCTGAGATGTCAGAACCTGGGACATCTCAGAGTAGGGGGCTTTCCGAAGGGAGCAGCCTTGGTGACTCAGGTGCTTCACACCCCTCATCCGAGAATGCAGCCCCCTCCTCACCTCCGCAGAACCAGGAGGCCCTGTTTGGCACCACGAGGAGCCTCATTATGTGGTCACCTTCCCCACTGTCCAGGCCACACTGGGACACATGGTCTGACCGAGCCTTTGCAGGTGGAGGATTGAGATGTGGATTTCAGAGCCCAAGGACTGTATTTATAAGACCCTTGTCCGGCCAGTGGGGGGTGATGAGAGACTGTTAAGGAAATTGGGGCTTTCCTGAAACATAAGGTTACCCACCCCCCCCATGGCTGCGTGGCCCAGTTAGAGGGAGATGGAGTCTCACCCACGTCTGGGTGCTGAGGGGTCTGGGCTAGAAAGCAGCAGCCCCCGCAAGGCCCCCCATGTGCACAGGGTTCAGGGGGCACCATGGGCCCAGACCTCCCCAGATCCTCAGACCCTAGTCCCAGCTCTGTGACAAAGCGGCTTCTGCAAAGGCAGAGAGGGAGGCTGGAGAGAGCAGGGGCCCCTGGAGGCCCCTGGCACCTGAGGCAGGGTGGAGCCTGACTTCCTTGCTATGCCACGAGCACCAGCATCCGCCACGCCCTCCTCTGTCTCTGTCACTGCCCTTTGCCCCTTGCCCCTTGGACAGCATGTCGGAGCTGGAGAGCCGGTCCAGCCTGGTGACCCCATCCCTTTGCCACGCAGTTCAGGACCTTTGAGCCCTGCAAGCAGCTGTGGTGCAGCCACCCTGACAACCCATACTTCTGCAAGACCAAGAAGGGGCCCCCACTGGATGGGACCGGGTGTGCACCAGGCAAGGTACCCGCGGGGTCCGCAGCGGGGTGGGAGTGGCCTTCCTGGGGTGCAGGGCGCCCCTCACCAGCATGGGTGCAGGTCCCAGGGAACCCCTGGCTCCTCCCTCCAAGTCTCTATGGTATGGGGGCAGTGCCAAAGGACAGGAGGGAGCCCAGCGTGCAGGTGGGTGTGTGTGGAGTCTTCCATGAACTCCCCATTCTTTTCCCCCAACCACAGCCCTTGGCCTCTGTGGTTGTCCAAGGTTAGCGTGAGGTCATCACCCATCCAGCAGAGTGCTTACTCCCTTTTTACAGATGAGGAGAAGGAGGTGCAGACAGGAACTTGGAACTTAAGGAACTTGCTGGGGTCACCCAGAGTGATTAGCAGAGAAGGGGTGAGGGAAGGCTCCAGGTGTCCTGCCTACTCCCCACCCCCTGCTGTCTTTGTTTCTCCCACACACGTGTTCTCTCCCCGCCCTTCACGTAGTTCCTGGTACGTGTTTGCTCCCTCATGCGTGCGTGGGTGCCAGGGCTTCATTTGTCAGGGGACCTCGTGGTGGGGTCTGAAACCCACATCTGCTCTGTTGCTGGCTCTTGACCACTGTGTGGGCCATTCAGGGAACGTCACAGCCTGCCGACGCCTGACCGTGCATCCTTCCCGCCCCTCAGGGTTGTTCTGAAATTACTGAACCATGTCAAAGCAAGGGAGAGAGTTGGAAAGAAGCAAGGTGTTAAGAGAGGTGATTTAATTTTTTTTTTTTTTTTTTTTTTTTGAGACGGAGTCTTGCTCTGTCGCCCAGGCTGGAGTGCAGTGGTGCAATCATAGCTCACTGCAGCTTCGAACTCCTGCGCTCAGGTAATCCTCCTGTCTCAGCCTCTTGAGTAGCTGGGACTACAGGTGTGCACCACCACACCAAGCTAATTTTTAAAAGAATTTTTTGTAAACATGGGGTCTCACTGTGTTGCACAGGGTGGTCTCCAACCAGTGATCCTCCCACCTCAGCCTCCCAAAATGCTGGGATGTCAGGCATAATCTCCTGTGCCTGGCCTCCAAGAGAGGTGATTACTTAGCATCAACTATGAGCCCAGCTGTTGGAGACCCACCCCTGTAGCTTGCCCTCTGCCCTCTGCCCCAGCCAAGCTCATCCCATTCACAACTGTCCTGCCAACCATCTCCTGGGCTCCTCGCAGATGGGTGAGGCTTCCCATGGCCCTGTATAGCCCATGGGCTCAACACCTGGCAGGCTCTTATCCGAGAAACTGGTCATACCTGCTCCAGGTGTTTCCACTTAAGTTTTCCCAGGTGTTTTCGGAGTTCCAGGCCCTTCCCAGTCATAATTTCACAGAAAAATTAAACAGTGGTTCTTGATTTTGGCTGTATGTTGGAATCATTTGGGGAGCTTTAAAAATCCCCACCCCTAGAACAGGGAGTGACTACCAGCGGGCACAGAGGGTCTTTTTGGGGTGATGGAAATGTTCCGAAATTGAACAGTGGTGATAGTTGCACAATTCTATGAATTTATGAAAAATCATTGAATTGTACACTTGAAATAAGTGAATTTTTTGGCATGTAAATGTATTTCATTATAGCTTCTTCCAAAAATCCCCAGCCCACATATTTGAAACTCAGACTTAGGAGGGTAGGGGGGCAAGGGCAACATACGTAACCTAAACATCTGTACCCCCATAATATGCTGAAATAAAAAAAAAAAATCCCCAGCCCTAGAGATTCTGACTAAGTTGGCCTGGGCTGAAGCCCAGGCATCTGGAGTTGTAAAATCTCCCTGGGTGATTCCATGGTTGAGAACCACTGAGTTCATCTCTTAGGAAAGACCCAGAGGGCTTTGCCCTGTTTCTTGTGTTACCCTACAGGAAGGGGGGTAGGGAGTTGCCTTGAGCGGAGCCCTCCTTTGTTGTCTGGCCCTGTGCTGAGGCCTTTCTAGGTGTTATTTGCTTCAGTTCCTAGAACAGTCCCGTTTAACAGGTGAGTAAACTGAGGCTCAGCAAGGTAAAGGAGCCACACGCAGCTAGTAATGGCGGCGCTGGGATTCAAACCCAGGCCTCTCTGACTTCATGCATACACTCCCTCCACTGCACGGAACGACCTTCCCATGTGGCTGGCTTGCCTCCCAGGAACACATCTGCTCGTGGCCCCTGGAAGGTGATTTCGTGGTGCAGAGCCACAAAGTCTAGGCAGTGGAGAAGATTGTGCTCCTCTCCCTATGAGCACTTTATTTCTCCCGGCGTGATGAACTGAATAACTGTACATGTATCATCATCGTTAATAATAATATTACCTGCCATTTCCGGAGGGCTGTGTGTGCCGGGCATTATCTCACCGGGTGCCACAGGCAGGTGCAGTTACCCACGTGTCTAGCTGAGGAGCAGTCTCAGAGAGGTGACCCCGCGTCCCAGGTTGTTCAGCTCTAACCCCAGGCTCATGCTCTTGACATCCCGTTCTCTGGGCTCTCCCGTGGCGCCCACCAGCAGTGTGCCCGCCTGGGCGCCCTCTAGGGCAGGCTTGGCAGCAGCGGCCCAGGGTGACCTCACACCTTCTCCTCCACCCCAGTGGTGCTTCAAAGGTCACTGCATCTGGAAGTCGCCAGAGCAGACTTACGGCCAGGACGGAGGCTGGAGCTCGTGGACCAAGTTTGGGTCATGTTCGCGGTCATGCGGGGGCGGGGTGCGATCCCGCAGCCGGAGCTGCGACAACCCCCAGTGAGTATGCTTGCCTGGGGTGGGCGGGGCAGGGGACGGCCTCCTAGGGCCGAGGGGCTTGGAGGGGTAGGCACTGGGGAGAGAAGGCCCCTGGGGTGGTTGTGTGTGCAATGAAGGAGGACCCGAAATTGTTGGGGGGCAGATAGCTCCCACCTGCATTCGCTGATGACCCAGCAGATCTGACTTCCGTGCATGTGTCTGAACTGGTGATTCTCAAACCCTCGTGTGCAGAAGGTTCCCCAGAGTCTGTGTGGCCAAGGTTCTGCCAGTTTAACAAGCCCTCCCAGGACCCTGGTCCTCCAGCTAAACTTGAGAAAACAGTGATCTAAACCCATTGTACGTGTCCTCGGAGAATAAATTCCCCAAGTGTCTTTTCTATCGCATGGAGCAAAACTTCCCCTCATTTTTCTAAACTTACCTCTTTGTAAAATCAAAGCCCCCCTCCCAAATTTCAGCATTGTTGTTGAGACATCGATGTCTCCCTTCTCATCTCCTCTGCGGGGATCCCCTCCCCTACTCCATGATTTGGGGACTTCTGAGCCCCAGCTTTCCATGGCCTCCACCTCCCAAGCTGAAACAGCCTGCTTAGAACAGTGTCCTGAGAGGTGGGGACAGGCCAGGGCTGGCGTTTGGATCACCTGGCTCTAGGAACACAGGAGTCCCACACCTCCACATGGACAGGGCCTGGCCTCACCCCTTGCGGCACTGAGTGGTGTGACGAATACTGCAGAATCTCAGGGTCGCAGGATCGCCGTGGCCCTAGCATCCTCAGGAGTGGTCATTCATACCTCCGGGGATGTGAGGCTCACTACCTATGGAAGCAGCTGTTCTGTTGTCAGATGGCTGTATTGTCCTTTTACAAACGTGAGCCAAACAGACTGCTTCGTAACGTCCATCTGTCAGGGATACAGAAGCTGGGCTTATGCAAAGGCCCAGCGGTCCCTGCTCTGAGTGAACCGCCTCGCAGGCATGACTGACAGTTTTCCCCTTGATCGAAGCTACCATTTATGGAGCTCCTCTGTCATGGCAACTATTTTTATTTTATGAGTCTTAAATGAAATAATGTGTGTACTCTCAGCACCATGCCAGCACAGATTAATCACTTAACAGATGACAGCTGCTGTTACAATGATTATGACGACAATGTATCTCGTCCTTTCTCTGTGCTGGTGGGATGCTGAACCCGTAGGTGCAGAGATCTGTGTGATTCTCCCGCGGCTCTGTGAGTGGGGCGCTGCTAGCCTCATGCGCCTGGACACTTTCTAGCAACAGTGTGAGACAATCCTCTTGGCTTACAGGAGAAGAGAGTAGAGATTGCTTTAAAATACCTTTTCTTGTTATTCCTCACAGATGTACCAAGAGGCGGGTAAAATCAGAAGGATTAGGGCCCCTCCCTTCAGGGGAAAGGAAGGCACAACCAGGGACCTGGCTGAGGTTGCACGGTCGGGGCGCGAATCCGGCTCTTCTGATTCCAAATCCGTGTTTCTTTTCCCACTCCTTAGTTTAGTACGGTATTAAGTGGACGTGGATGCAAACAGCAGTAGGTGAGTCGTTTATTGAGTGCCTGCTGTGTGCCAGGCCCTGGTTCAGTTGAAGGGCTATACAAAGATGAGTAAGACCGATTTCTCTTCCTGCCCAGTTGGAGAGGGTTGGCCAGTCCCTGTGTCTGTCTGCCTGCCTGTCTGTCTCACACACACACACACCCGCACACAGCGGAGTAGGTGGCGTGTGCCTGAAGGTGGAGCAGTCAGGGAGGAAGAGGGATCTGGAAGGCTGAGCTCAGCAGCCCTGACCCCGGTGTGTAGGTTAGTAGTGGCCGTTGTCACGCTGCAGTGAAGGCTGAGCCGTGGCCGTGTGGGGAGCCTGGCCCTCCCTAGCACTCCCAGCCAGCAAGGTCACCCCTCTGTCTGTGCCCGCCCCAGCCCAGCCTACGGAGGCCGCCCGTGCTCAGGGCCCACGTTCGAGTACCAGGTGTGCAACAGCGAGGACTGCCCCGGGCCCTACGAGGACTTCCGGGCCCAGCAGTGTGCCAAGCGCAACTCCTACTACACCCACCAGAACGCCAAGCACAGCTGGGTCCCCTACGAGCCTGACGACGGTGAGCGGGCCCTGCACCCCGTCCCCTCCCCATGTCCTTGGGCAGCAGCTGCTGGGGCTGTGTGTGCCAGGCAGGACCTCCCACCTCTGCACCTGCCAGCGAAGGTAGAGGGGCCGTGGGGGTGCCAGGAGGGACATACCCTGTTCAGACCTGTACATCGCGCATCTCTGGGGCCACCGTCCCCATCAAGGCCATCTCTGATTTGTATACTTATGATGGCAATTTTCTGGCAGATGCAAGGAAAGTGTCTTGAGGAAGGGGCTCTTCACCCAGAGGTGCTGCTGGGGCAGCAGCCGTGTTGGCTTTTAGGGTTGGCCGCCTTTCAGACATCTGTCCCTACCTGCACAGAAACGAACTGTACAGGTGTGGACGCCCTTCACTCTACATGACCAGTGTCCCGAGACGCTCGGTCCTAGTGATGCCATGCTTTTAGGTTGTTCTGACTGGGTTGCCATTTCAGCAGAGTCACTGAGAGTGATTTTGAAAGGCAAGCAGGTGGGAGCCTGCGGCCCCCCCCGCCACTGACCCCTCCAGGCTGCCCTGGGAGAGATTCAGGGCTCATGCAGAGGGTCTGAATTTGGGGACCACGCTGGTGCCAGTTCCCATCTGTTCTCCAGCACGTCCAGTGATGGCTCCCCGAGCAGCAGCGCGTCCAGCAAAGGGCTGGGACTCATGGCGTCTTAGAGCCTCAGGCTGGAAGGGCCCCAACAGTCCTCTGATCCCACCTGTCTCCTGTCAGCCTCCCTGCAGCCCTCCATGGACAGACACTCACTCCCTACCATGCAGCCCTCAGCCCAGACGCACCATTATGGTGGCCTTTCCTCCCCTGAGCCTGGGGTTGGCCCCAGGACCTTAAGCTCTTCAGCTCATGTTTAGAATGACAGAATCATCACGTTGGAAGGGACCTCAGAGGCCTGTCATTGCCAGACTCCTCTGGAGTATCCCTGCAGGGGCGTGTCTTATCTCTGCTTGGATTCTTCCCACTCTGGGGAGCTCACCACTGCCTTGCACTGTTGGCTGCCAGAGACCTGTCTGCCTAGGTGCACTGGACAGGAGCCTGCCTGTCTTCTGGAGGGTGGAACCCCCGCCAAGCCGAGGCCCCACTAGGAGTCTGGCTCTGTGCATGAGACCCAAGGTGGTCTTGAAGGTTGTGGATTTCAGTCCTGCTTGCTGGAGGCAAGGAGTCAGCAGGTGTTCTTGGAGCCCAGGCACCAGGAGCAGGGAGCCAGCCAGGCCCCTTAGAACCTGAGGGAGGCTTGCTTTGAAAGCCTTCCAGATCTGTTCAGAAAGCAAACCAGCAAACACAGTGTGGGGAGGGGAGCGGCTGGGAGGCCTGTGGGACAACTGGACTTTGGGCTTTTCCCAGGACTTTTAGACAAATTCCAGGAAATTAGCTAAGCCCCCAACCTCCCTTTTTCTAAGAAGCACAGCAAGTGTTTATATGTTCTCTGAAAACTCCTTTTTAGGACATCTATAGGCCAGATAGAGAAGAAATCATTTGTTAGAACCAGAAAGGACCATTTCCCTCTCTGACTGCTGCTCCATTTTGCAAACCCAGAGACCACTGTTCTGCCTTTCTTTCATGCAGCCTTCTAATGTTTATGAACATGTTAAGGTATACCGTCGTGCGTGTGCCCTGTGAACTGTTGTAGAGGTCAGAGCAGAACTAAAGCCAGACTGCCTGGGTTAGAATCCTGGCTGAACTACTTACTGTAAGGCTGTGCAGCCTTGAACAAGTTCCTTAACCTCTCTGGTCCTCAATTTCTTCCTCTGTAATGCTAGAACCTACCTCATTGGTATGTTGACAGGGTTAAATGAGTTAATTCATGAAAAGCATTTAAAGTTGTATTTTAAGGGTGTGTAAAGGTTTTAGAAATATTTGGTACCTCGTAAGCATTCACTAAGTGTTGGCTTCTTGTTGTTATTTTATCACTTGATTTTTTTCAATAACCTGATGTGGCATTTTACTGATCAGGGGTAATAAAAATAGGGAACTGAGGCTCAGAGAGGTCAGCTCATTTGCCCAAGGTCACACAGCTGATCATAAGTGACAGCAGGGATTTTAAGCCTCCCCTCCACACCCACTGCTTTTGCGCTGCCCAGAGCTGGCCCCCGGAGCTTCCTGGCCAGCTCACTTTCTCTGAGCCTAGCCGGGGACTTAGTGTGGTCCCTCTCCCCACAGACGCCCAGAAATGCGAGCTGATCTGCCAGTCGGCGGAGACGGGGGACGTGGTATTCATGAATCAGGTGGTCCACGACGGGACGCGCTGCAGCTACCGGGACCCGTACAGCGTGTGTGCCCGCGGCGAGTGTGTGGTGGGTGCCCCTCCTGGCACAGGGAGACTGGAGGGCTGTGCTGCGGCCCCTCCTGCCCCAGGAAAGACAAGCATTGCCTCACCTGCCCCACTCGTGACACCCTTTGGCCCTCAACATAGCCCCGTTGCCCGGCCCCGTTGAGGAGAGAGGAGACGGCCAGAATCGTTACCACGCCAGGTTTAAGGCCTCACCCAGGTCACATGGCAGATTTGTGCCGGAGCCTGACCAGGGATACCTCTTGGGCCAGGCTTCCTCTCCTGGCCAGGGCCCGGGGAAGGGGCAGGAGCCAGGGGCTACTGCCTGGGGTAGCGGTGGGGGTGGGGGAGCCTCCTCCCACTGACCTCCCCTCTGGTCTCAGCCCGTCGGCTGTGACAAGGAGGTGGGGTCCATGAAGGCCGATGACAAGTGCGGAGTCTGTGGTGGTGACAACTCACACTGCAGGACTGTGAAGGGGACACTGGGCAAGGCCTCCAAGCAGGCAGGTGAGCTGGGTGGGCTGGGGCAATGGGGGCGACTGGGGTCCTGGCGCCCCTCTGACGGGCCCTTCCTCCTTGAACCATGCCACGGCCCAG